GAAGTGATCCATAACAAACGACTTGTGTTACACAAGTTTTGAATATTTTGACTTTTTAAAAAGAAAGTAATATTAAAAAGAAACAAAAAATCGAAGTAATTTTCAATTAGCTCAAACACAAAGGCTGGTTGCCCCCCCCCCTCTCCCCCTGCTTGCATAGATATCAGCAGGGCCAGGGCGCCAAGAGCGATGGATCTTCTGTCCTCTTCGAAATGAAATTAAACTAACCGACTGTTGACCCAGTGAGACAAGTCTTGTCTTCCGTATCAGTAAAAGTGGGCGACGGATTCGATCAGATATGACGTGTGATCGTATATTCCGGATAATCGCAATTTGATGCATGCTGCAATAAGGGGAAACGAAGATGTGAGAGATACGGTCGGAGAAGATGCGATATCAATGAGGGGAAAGGCTTTCTTCTCTAACATGACTTCGAGCCCGGGTAATCTCCTGTGGTCAACTGAGTCATGTACGGCGGGTTACGGAAAACTATTTTTCGCAGGAATAACGATCCCGCTTGTACAAAGGAAGAAACGAAGGAAGAAACGAAGAGAAACATCCATGCCACTCTACGGTAACAAGATCTGAGACCATCAAATCTTGCCACCGAGGCCGGGATTCGAACCCGGGACATCTAGGTCTGTGATCAGTTGCGCTAACCACTGGACCAACCGATGTCGGCTCACTCACCTTTGTTGACAATCAGATGCAATGTCAGTAGATATCAAAACAGAGCAGTGTTCAAACAGTCGGATCTCAATACTAATTACGTATAGTCTTGAATTGGTGTTTGCGTTTTTTATTAAGTTGATAGTGGCCGTTTTTTTCGTAGTTTTTCGCAGTAAAATGTCGTGCTCGAGTAAAGCACAAGTTGGCGTGAATAAAGAAGTGTTTTACGAAGAGTTTTCAAAATGAATTGAAAGTCAACGGGACGATAATTCGGGATTTTTCAATGCAAACCGTTATTATGAAATAGTGGAAGAAGTGAAAATAGCGAAAGACAAAAGTGGAGGAAAAACTGCAACCGAGTACAAACGCTTGAAGTTTCAACCACAAAAACATCGCTTAGCTAGTGATATTTTGAAAAAACTAGAAATCTCATCGAAGATTTAGAAATAGATCCAAATAGCTACAGAGAAAGCATCGAAAAACCATCAGGATTGAAGATTAAATCAACAAACCTAACACCAAATCCTTCCAAAGCTCGAACGAAAGAAAATGACAGACGACAAGAAAACGAAAAGACCTTTACCGCTATAATATGCAACACAAAAGAGATTCCAGCAACATACGATCTAATCTATAGTATAGCAAATAGGAAAGGAGCAGGGATAGAAATTTTCACCGAACCGAATAAGAATAGATCGATTAATGACGAACACATTCTAAGTAAAAACGGCCACCATAGACCACCCATTGGGAAGCCTATTATCATTATAAGAGTTGTTCCGAGTTTACTTAACTTTGTTCTTCTTTTCATGGACATCGCGGATGTGTCTGCGCAGACCGCAGACACATCCGCGATGTTCATGAAAAGAAGTTCACTTTCAATTGCGCCGGGCACAATTTACACCCAAAAGGCCTGAAATCCATGTGGGAGATGATGTGCTTCTTCAAATTACTTTTTGTTGGAAAACGCTTGGAGCAATGCGCACACGTGTATTCGGGTTTTATGTTATGCGCCTGCAGAACCGGCGCATGCGCCTGGGGCGGGGAGTGCGATTCTTACTACTACTCTTAACTCTTAACTACTACTTTTGACATTACCCACACCGATTTTGGTAATGTCGACAATACCCAAACGCTCTTTGGATAATGTCGACATTACCCGGGTAATGTCAACGATATTCGACATTACCAAAACGGCCTGGGTAATGTCAATTATTGCCGCCATTACCCGGGTAATGTCGACATTACCCGGTTTGACTAGATTACCCGCAACATATATACAAAGGAGACAAAGAGAAAATGGATCCTGTTGGTTGAAACGGGCGGTTTTCATAGATGAAAAGGGAAAATAATGGACTAACTAATAGACTAAGACTCTCGTTAGTTTACTTGGCTCCTTTGTCTATTGCAACCACTCACTGCCACCAACAGGATCGCTTCATTTTACGTTTGTCTTCGTTGTCTATAGCTTTGTCTATCAATTTTAATAATCAGCCCGCAGGTTGTATGGCACAATACTAGTGCTTTTTTTTGCAGTCACAAATTTCCCTGGTGTGTTTTGTGTGAAAGTAAGGAGGGTTTTTCTGTGTTTTCCAGATGGTAGCTGCAACCAGCCGCCGGTGTTCGACGCGGACATGAACAACGAGCCGCTGGCGGAGAGCACGCCGGTCGGGCAGGTCGTCTACAAGCTGGAGGGCCACGACCCGGAGGGCTCTCCCGTCTACTACGGCATCCAAGGCACCGACAGATTCTCCGTCGATCGCACCCAGGGAGAAGTCCGCATCGTCAAACCCCTCGATAGAGAGGTCAGTCCAGATCATATCCCTTTACCCTTTTCGCCTCTTATTCACTATAGAGTACCTGTATAGACAGGGTATGGCCATTCCTGTGCCGGTTTTTCATTGGTCGCGAGAAAATAGGCTGACACGATGTTTTACGGCCGTAAATAATCAAACAGAATGGCTGTCATCAGTAAATAAATTTAAGGTTATGCACATCTTACATCCTCCTGTGACGAAGGCGAAAGGCGATTTAACAGTGTTCTCAGTTTAACGAATGGCTATATCGAAAATTTCGACGCGATATTTTTGTTCGTTCTTTTTTCTTTTCATGTAGGTAACCAAAAAAAAATTACATATCATCCGAGTTTCTGAATCGTTACAATGAGGATACATATGTTTCCTTTAATTGTGGTAAACGCTAGAGCAGAAAGTAAAAAATGATGACACGCAGTCCTTCAGCATTCCTACAGTCTTGTAGGCAGGCGCTAATGTGTGTTTCACGCCAACTAATCGACTGCAGTGCGTTCGGCGCAATGCAAGAAGTATTCATGCAGTCTTGTAGGCGCTAATATGGGCTTGACGCCGACCGTACGGTTTGGCACAATGCGTGAAGTATTCCTAAAGTCCTGCAGGCGCTAATATACGTTTAACGCCTGCCACACTGTGTTTGGCGCGATTATTCGAACTCGCGTTAGAATAATCGCTGCAATGCTGACGCCGTATGTGCATTCCAGCGTTGCCTTCTTTCTTGCGATTAAATATTTTTTCCGAAAAAAGTTATTATAGTTCTTCATACCCACGACCATTATTAAATATTTTCACTTCATTTAACATCAGAAGGTAAGACATCGATGACCTGTCATCCTGTCAAAATGCGTTTATTTTCCAACTGTTTCCTGTATTGCCAAACGTCTACCTTAAGTCAACTTCATTTTAAATTCGCGATTTCCTGTACCAGATGTTAAAATTCCTCTTCCCGCAAACCTCGTGCCTTTTTCGCGCAATCCTCATATATTTTCTTAGACCTTTCGCGCAATCCTTATCGATAGACATTTCATCATTCCCCCAGTCTAAATATAACTATCACTCCTTTCAAGCAATAGAATCGCTATATTTTCTCTTTTCCAATCGTTTTGTCCATCAATTTCAATAATCAGCCCGCCGATGCGAGGAATCGCCGATTAAAATTGACAAGCGACAAATGGGCGGTTTCCGATCGCGAGATTAACGGGAGCCTTCCCGCGGTAGAAAACTGGAAAGATCTATCTCCTCGGAGCGTAAGCTTCGGCGATAGTGTCCTCTTTCGCGGCGGAGAGTTCACGCCGAAATATGGATGGTAATTTTTGAAGTGGCGTTCAACTCGACCGAGTCGGAAATGGGGATCCGAGTGGCAGCTCATCGGCGGTTCCGGCGAAAGGATAGTTTAATCGGCGTGGCCTATTTGTTCCGAAATAAATCAAGCGGCTTCAAATAGACCATCGCGCCGCCGCGCCGCGCCGCGCCGCGCGGGATTAGAGCGCCTGCATCGCACCAATAAAGCTGCGATTAAGGTCGATTAGAGAGCAGATGAAAACAAGGGATTATAGAGGTCTGGGCCCGGCGTGGCGCTAGCGCTACCCGACGGACGTCAGTCCATTTTTGAAAATTTTACCCACCATCTTTCATCAATTTCGATCGATGAATCAACGCATTGGTCCGAAAAAGTCCCACGAAGTTGCTATCATAGAAATGACAAGCTTGCAGCCCTCTTCGATGAAATCGTTTAAAGCTTGAGGAGCGAGATATCCTAGAGTTGACAATATCCACCAATAGGAATAAATGAGGAGGAAATTAAAACATAGGTAAACAAGGCTAAAACATTGATAACACTCAAAGGCAGGACGTTTTGGCTGTTACCGACTCATTTTCAGCTGCAAAAAACACAAAAGAATAAATGAAAAATTGAGTGGTGACCTGATCCCAGCCGTTATCACGTGACCACTCCGGCTGGCATAAACGGCATATTATTATAACGGCTGGAGTCATAGGTCGCAGGTCGCCTTTCAATTTTTTATTAATTTTTGTGTGTATTTCTGCAGCTGAAAATGATTTGGTAATCGCTCGAAACGTCTTGTCTTTTAGTGTTTTTAATGTTTTAGCCTTGTTCAGTGGCGTAACGGGCGCCCCCGCAGACCGTGCTATGCAGGGGGGCCCAGGCGCCTAGGCTAGGGGGCCCTCGGCCGCCGGATTTTTTTTCTCTCCCTCTCTATGATACTTAGCTTTGGTTTCAAACTTTGGGCCTTCACTTACCGAGATGGGGCTTCTTCCTCTGATTTGTATTGTTAGCTCGGGGTTTTTCATACTTCTTTCGGACTGTTCCGAACTTTTTGTTTGCTGGAGGGCCCCTGCCCTGCCTTCCAATGTCCACTCAGTGATTACTAAAAATTGTCTCTTTTTTTGTCACTTTTCGTATTTCGGGCTTTGAGAGGTCCAAGAATCTCCTTGGCCTTGGGCCTGGGCCCCCCTGTAGATCCTTGGGCCTGGGCTGGGCCCCCGCCACCCTTTAGATCCTTGATCCTTTAGGGGCCCCATTTAATCGGGTACGAGATCCGGGCCGGTGAAGGGGGAGGCATTCCAAGTCCAAGTCCGTGATTTGAGATGTATCGGGCCAAAAAATGGGAAGGGGCGAGAAAGGGAGAGGGGCGGAGAGGGGATAATTTTGGATTTTATCGACATATTGAGGGGGGGGGGCTAGAAACATTTTTGCGGGGGGTCCCAGCGGAAGTCCGTTACGCCACTGGCCTTGTTTACCCATTTTTTAATTCCTTATTCCTTATTTATTCGTATGTTCGGGCTAATGGTTAACGCCTTTTGATTAGAATCCGCTAACCTTCAACAGTGTAGGTACCAAGTTTCACACTTCTGGCATAATTTGTCATTAAACTATGAATAAAAGCCCGTGTTACATCTCAAAACAGCGGTTGTCAGAATTTGTTGAAATAATACAATTTTGGAGCGAGAAATATGTATTCTCTACAATATAGATAACTCCTTGCGCGTCCTGGTATGTTTGTTGTCCACTCATAATCGGTACAATTTAAGGTCAGCTGAAAATGTATGATTTTTATCAAATTTTTCGATTATGGTGCTTCAGCTGTTGATCGCTCTTTCTTGTGGTCCACTACTTTCAAAGTAAGATGTTTCTCGATTTCTTAAATTCATCGCAGCGCTTAGTCCGAATGGAGTATCTTGGAGCATGAGCGCGAAAATGAAGTCGTCCTGTTTTAAGCCTCGCTAGGGCACTCAGAGGACCATCGACTATCAGCTGACACTTTTACAGCTCTTTAAATAAAGATAATCTGTTGATTTACCACCTTGGCTCATTCCGCCAGGTGTCCACACCAGAGCGCTCGTTCCTAAGTCCGGCGGACGTCCATTCCTCGGTTTTGGCCGTCGAAATTTTTACGATTACCACTCGATTATTTCTAATCAAGCATGGAGCCACTTTTTATCCCATATTTCGCCACTTCGGACCTGCTCTGCTTTCGACCTGACAACAATCAACCTGTCAAGAGAAGCAAATCTCACCGCGCTCCTCCGGGCTAATTATTGAAATCGACAGACGAAGGTATAAACAAAGAACAGAACGAGTAAATGGAGCGATCCTATCGGTGGAAGCGGATAGTTGCAATGATCAAAGGAGGCGTGTAGTTTACTAACCATCGGAAACCAGGGTGTCTACAAGTCTATAATTTCCGGAAAGTCCGGAAGTAGCACTGATTTTTTAAGAGCGGTCCGGAAGTACTGAAAAAGTGCGGAAATTCTGCAAGAAGGTCCGGATTTTTTTTTTCATTTTTTTGTAATTTTTGTCGCAATTTAAGCGAGAAATTCACATTTTTGAAATGTTTCGAATCTCGTCAAATGGAGGCTGTGAAGTACTGAATTTTTCTGTTGGGGAGGTACTGAATCTCTTGGGAATGTACTGAAAAATTATCGTAAAAGTACTGATTTTTGGCCAACCTGTTTTAGTAGATACCCTGGCAACCCACGAGAGACCCTATAGTTAGTCTTATAATTTTCGCCCTTAATCTGCAACAACCACCCGTTTCGACCAATAGGATCGCTACATCATCTTCTTTGTCATGAGTCGAATTTCAAAGGTCCCTGTCAAGTTCTTTGATAATCGGTGCAAGTTCCCCACGCAGCTGCTGAACAATTGTCGAAATTTTATGGAAAATGCAATTTTACTCTTCTGCAGAATGAAATTTCATCTCTGGTTTGGACTCATGATTTCTCGGCGTTTCCACGAGCTCGGCTTGGAAAGCGGCGCGGAAGACTCGGCCGGGCCGGAAGGAAGACCCGGGGGGCGGGGGTGGGGGCCCGCGGGCCGGGGGCCAAGATACCGAAAGTGACATGGATATCGAGGGAATGCCAGAAGATGGCGACAACACGGTAATGCCCAGAGATTGCAATGCCGATCCGCTCTACTTAGCCCGATACTGGATCTGTCACCCGCTCCAGCGCCTCCCCGACTAAACCGAACACCCGGCCTCACTGTCAAGAGCCAATGTCATTAACTTATCCCCCCCGCGGTCTTCCTTCCGTTGACCCCCGCGGCTGTCGCTCTCGTCATCGCGCCGCGGCGGCCGGCAACCCGCAACGCAGTTCCACCATCGGTTTAACCCTGAGACAACACTGGTAAAAAAACCTCTTGGACCAATGCCGCGGTGCATTGACTTAAGAGTGCAGTTTCTTGTCGCCGGATTTTAGAGTCTTGAACTCTTGTTTCAAGCGGATTTTGCATTGATTCAAGCGGATTTTGCATTGAAACAAGAGTCCAGACTCTTAAATCCGGCGACAAGAATCTGCACTCTTGAACCAAGAGGTTTTTTTTACCAGTGAAGAGGCCTTCCACTGGCTTCTTGGCGACAGGTGGAAGCTTTTATTCTCGGGGATTCAATATTTCCTTATGGACAAGCGTAAGGGGGCAACGGGCGCAACAGTCACCCTTTTTGTAGCCGTTTATGAAAGCTGAAGCGAGATATCCGTCCGAAATTTCGTTGATTTTCGACGAAAATACATGAATACATGGCAAAATCTGAGAAATTTTCAAAGAGAAAATCTCGGAAGTTTTCGAATAAAAATCTTTGGCTGCGTTGAAATGTAGTCACGTTCCATCGATTGGTAATTTTCCAAAGTTGCAAAATTGACTTTAACAGTTCAATTTTTTTAAAAATTAGTCCGTGCAATTTCTATCTAAAATTTACTTTTTTTTAGTGTAGCGATAAGAAAATTCAGTTCAATTTTTAAACAGATGTATATCTGACTAAAAATTTAACGGATTCCTCTGACGTCTCCTGATAAAAATGCAGTTTCCGAATAGAAATTGTTCAACATTAAAAAACAGTTACGTTTTTCGTCCGAAGAACGACGGAATGTAACAATTAAATTGCCTCCTGGTCCAAATCTCCCCCACACACCTAAACAAGTATTTCCACGTGGTTCCATCTCTTCGGAATGAGAGTCGAAAAGTCAGCTCTGAACGGTAAGGAACTCCGGGTTTCCTCCCAACCGCTCGTATTTTCAACCGGTTCCACATGACTAGCAGTTTTTGAATTTATGGTCACGACCGGCATGTCATCCTTGTTTGCACAGTATCATTGTCATGTAGAACTCCTACATTTCGCGGGTTAATATTGAACCGCAGAATCTTCTTTGTCGTTACGGGTTAAAACACAAAAGAAACCGTTTATCTCCGATGTCCATACTGTTCAGTAGTAAGTAGCCCAGTGAGGATAAAATTGGAATCGCAATATGCAATATAGATGGAGTTCAGAAAAAAAAGAATCAATTTTTATGCCTCATTGTAGAAACTTTCCTTAAAAATACGTACTTTTTCAACATGAAAATTTTTTCAAGGTAAGAATTCTCAACAAGATTAATTTTTCAACACTACTAATTGCAACATCTCAAGAAAATAGGTAAGCATTCGTGGAAACTTTATCAACAAAATAACATTAATTTTATTTCTTCAGGTCAACGATACTTTGAGGTTTCAAGTAACACTTGAAGATGAGGTTGAGGGTGGCACTAACAACCTGGTCGAAGTCCCCATTTCAATTATCATTCTCGATGATAATGATAATGCACCAGTTTTCAAGGAGGTAAGTTGTTCATCTCTAATTCAGGACTCAACATATGCATTTTAAGTACTTTCCTTCGACTCCGGAAATGTTTAATCTCTTTTAACGAAAGTTTTCTTTTATTCATCTTAAAAAACTACAAGGAAGTCCTGAATAAAAGCAATATTTTTCAAATGTACTTGATAGTAGTATTACGCACTGAAAATGAATAATTATTATGGAATTTTTTATGTCCTGTGTATTATAATTTATTTAAGTTTTTTACTTTTTCAAAGAAAGATTAGTAACTGCTTCACTTTAAACCGGTAATGTTTGAACAACAACCAAATGTTAAATTAATCCACAACAGTAGTAATTTACCAAATTTTTGTGAATGCATCGTATATAAGTACTTGTAAATTACTCAATTTTTTTCCTAGAGGTGGCACTTCAAATTGCTCAATCGTTAGTAAATATACTGAAATTTACGTTAGTTTCAACGACGGAACTGAAGGGATACCTCGTTTAAGTGGAAAACGTTCGATTTATTTGATTACATAGCTATGTTTCCTCGAATCTCATTTACACCTTTCTTAGTAATTTTGATTATACTTTTCTCTTTCTTTCTAAGTAATCCCTTCCTTTTTTCTCTGAGATTCACCTGAAGTGACACAACTATTCTCTTTTTTCATCTTTTCTCTGTGAAAGTTTTTTTTTTTTTTATGTGAACTTTCAACTCCTTTTCGGCTGTATAATAAGAAGCCTTCATAGTTTCCTTAATTTTTGCAGACCCCATATGAATTCGTCGTTCCAGAGAATGCAGCTGTGGGCACAACAGTTTTCTCCAACATCAAAGTAGAAGATGCCGATCTTGTAGGAGAAATTTTGGATGTGGTTTGTGAGAATAGTTTACAGGTGAGTTAATTTTGATAATCATGATAACCGGGTCATGAAGTAAACCTTAAATGGTATTAGAAAATTTAGTAATTCGGTCGAGTTTCCTCTAAATCCTTCAGAAGTGTTTTTTTACTTGATTTAATTTTTAAGTCAATATGGTAATCTTTTCTCCGATGTCAAAAGGAGGGGTATCGATTAGGGCCGTTTTTTGGCCCACCCTGGATTTCCTCAACTAAACGATTTTTTTTATTATCAAAGGTCTATATTTTACGGAATGCATAATTATTTGGTCATTTTCGATCTCTCATCGGGTCTAATGCTGATCTAATCATAAGTCTCAAGACCGTTTTGCAGGTCTGTGGTCCAATGCCAAAAATTCCTCATTTTTCGCCAAAATCGGCCCTCAGACCCTTGTTCAGCTCAACCTTATAACCAAAGAGCAATCAAAAATGACCAAATTATGAAGTATTCTTTAGCAAGCAACTTGTTTGGTATGGTCATGTCAATAGGATGACGGAAGAGAGGCTGCCAAAAAAGATGCTTGATTGGGTTCCTCCTGGGAGGAGACGTAGGGGACGCCCAGTGAGAGGTTGGCGACAGGGGGTGTTAAATGAGATAAGAGATTGTCAACTCCCTGATGACCTGTGGGAAGACCGAGCTTTGTGGCGATTAGGCGTCGCACAGCGCCAAAGAGCGCTATAAAAGCGACTCATATATATATATGAAGTATTCTTTAAGATAAAGGCCATCGGAGCAGATAAAGGGCATTGAGGTCATTTATTCAGCCCATCCAAGGAAAATAGTAGGAAGGAAAATATGTCAAGAGTGTCAAAGAAAATCTGAATGAATTTATTCTGAATTGGTCTGAAGAATGTTTATTATCTTATCGTGGAATAATGTACTTGATTATTCTCATTGATTTTTAGGCGGAAAAAGTTTGCTCAAAGTTTGGATTGGTGACAATTAATGCAACGGAGAGGCTTTTTCTTGGAGGCCTTGTTTTGAAGGAACCCTTAAATTATGCAGATCAACAATTCTATGTCCTTGGCTTAACTGCTTATGTAAGTATGTTTGTGTTTGGTTACTGAATTTGCATTCAGTCATTTTTTTTTCAGTGTTCTCCTGTTATCTCCATCCATTAAAGAAAAACATTCAATAGTTTCTTCTAGACCTAGTAGAATGGGCCATTCAGCCTCATTGAATCGTTAATATCAGATTGACATAGTGTGGACTTGCGAATCATTAAAATATCTTGATGGTGAATTTTTGGCAAACGATAAATCGTAGGTAAACTTTAAAGTCATTACAGGATCATTTACAGTATCAGATATTGTCAGTCAATTAAGATGCTGAAAGAAATTTGAAATTTTGTCAGATGAGAAACAGCTCCATGATCTTTGCTATTGTTTCCCTTTCTCTGACAAGACTGTCATTTAACTATTATATTTGTGAAAACGTTTGTTTGTTATTCAGGACGGCATGCATAACACAAGTGCAAGCATTGAGATCACAGTGGGTGATGTCCAGGACACTCCTCCAGTCTTTGTTGGTTCCTTGACTGGTGTCGTGCGTGAAGATGCTCCCATTGGAACTTTGGTTATGACTGTCCAGGCTCGAGATGGGGACAAAGGCCAACCAAGGCCTGTTGTATACGATCTCATTATGAGTAAGTACACTGTAGACCTTTTTTTTCCCTTTAAAAAAAAAACAACTGACGCATAAATTAAGGTGATTCAAAGTGCATCACTATTCATTCTTGAGAAATTGTGATTCAAAAACATTGATTGGAAAACGTTGGATATAATCAGTATGTCAGGGTTGCCACCTCTAGATAATCATGAAATTTTTTGGAAATTTAAGAATGGAGCTATTGTATGATCCAGGGATTGCTTTTTAAAAAGGTGCTTCTACTGTACCTATATTTTAGCAAGAAATGTGTATCCTAGCTTAAGAAGACTTAACACAGCATTTTTGACCAATTTAAAGAGGCTTAAAATCATGGCATCTATTAGAAAAAACGTTCCCTATCTGTCTAAAGTTCATGAGATAACCCACTGTTTCAACCACCATGAATCCAATGTAACTTGCCTTCTGTATGATTCTCATCCTACATTCATTCCTCGCACTATGTTGCCTTTTGAATGTGCATTGACCAGCTTTGTTTTCTGTTTCAGATCCTATGGACTACTTTTTAATTGATACCACAAGTGGAGAGCTGAGAACTGCACGTCCTCTTGATCGAGAAGCCCTGGACAAATCCAATGGTGTTGTTTCTCTCACTATTCGAGTATGTTGTAGTTATTTCTTCTGTACAATTCTAAGGTTGTGTTGTAAGAAATTGCAGTCTGATCATGACTTCAGAAAGAAAGAAACAAAAATAAATACCTTCCCATAAAAATAAAAATTTTTAGGCCAATGAGTGCTTCAGAATCATGCTAGAGAATGTTATCTAGGACTTTCAGAGATTAGTTTTCATCTAGGCAGATAACCTCTTTTTCCTCCCTTTTGGTGCAGTTTCACATTTAGCTCATCTTGTATTTTGACATTTTTGTGATTGCTCCACATAAAAAGAGACTGTACTCTTTTTAATTGTTAATTTTAATTTGGTTAAGAGGAAGCTAAAAACTGATTTGTCAATTAAGTATGGACAGCTGAATAAGTTTATTTGAGGATTTTTAAGAGAAATAGGTAAAAACTAGATGAACCTGATAACAATTTTTATAATTAACAATCTTTGCTGTTGACTGAGAAACTTTTCAACTAACTGCTTCCTCTCAGTAAGTAAGAATAATTTTGGATGGCTAAAACTTAATGAATACTTGTCGGTAAAGTAGAATTTGATTCACAGCAGTGTTCAGGTTAATAGTATTTATAATACATCTCTTCTGCAGGTGCGAGAAGTAGTAGATGGTATCCCAAGCAATGATGAATCCACCGTTGCAACTGCGATTGCAACCATTACAATCAAAGATGTTAATGATGAACCACCCAGGTTTAACAAAAGAGACTACTCCGTCATTATCAAAGAAAATATTCCAACTGGCACCCCTCTTCCACATTTGGATATGATTGTCACGGATCCAGATGTTGTGAGTAAAACTATGAGTATTTTTTGTATTTAGAAATGTTTCTCTCCGCTGAAAAGAAATAAATGCTGACTTGAATCATCAAAGTTCACTTTTGATCTTAAATAAAATTTGCATGACTTTAACATTATAACTGAATTTCAAAAATGGCTCATAGCCCGTTGTTTAGAGGGAAAAAAACCTGCACTTTTTGATTGGTTTATGCCACTCTCACCGCTCATTCATGGTGCCATAAGAAGTGATTTTAGAAGGGGAGCCCATCTGGGACTTGCAACTGGGTGACTATTAAAGTCTGCCATTGTAATTTTTTTTCAAAGCGCTGTTACATAGTTGCCTTTGATTTGATTTTCATATAATTTTTCTTGATTGGAAGATACTATCCAGGAGAATAACTGTATTTACCATCAGTTTTTATAAAAATGTTTAGAGGTTGTGTTAGCTAGTTTTGGCAGAATAAATGGTATTCAAGCATAAATGGTATTCAAGCTAATGGTGTACAAACCTGATCACACCAAAAGTGGGTTGCATTTACTCAAGCACAAAAATAAAAAGGCTTTAAAAAAGGGCCCGACCATGAAAAGGACAGTGGTTTGCATTTTGTAAAAATGTTGTACAACTTGCAAAATTCAGAAAAAAAAGAAGACGGCAATCACCGAAAATTCGAGAAATTAAGGCGTTTTCAGTAAGTCCATAAAAATGGATTGGCCTAGAACTTTATGTTCCTTTGCCCCAAATCTTCATTCTTATAATCTGCTTGCTTCATTCTGGAATGTAGAACGATTGGAATATTGCCAGTAAGAATTTTCTCTTAAATGTTAATCGAGCTGTATTCCACCCACACACCATATGGTTATCCAGTATTGGGTTCTTAGATTCTCAATATGTAAAGGCTGTGTACAGTTGTAACTCGTTTTCCTCTGAATGGTAAGCTGGAAAATTTATTGATGTATGTTGATTATTCCAGGGATCAAACGCACAATTCTCATTACGCCTGGAAGATGTCTCCAAGGCCTTTTCCGTTGAACCAACAGCTGCAAATGGTTCAACCTCCGTCAGCATCAGAGTTACCAATGGTTCCCTAGACTATGAAAACCCCAATCAACGGAAATTCATCATCCTCGTCATAGCCGAAGAAACAAACACAACCAAACATCTCTCTTCGACAGCTACACTGACAGTTGAAGTCTCTGATGCAAATGACAATGCACCAACATTCGACAGAGATGCTTATGCAGTCACTGTTAGCGAGACTGCTACTCCTGGAACAATCATTTCCACAATAACCGCCATGGATCGTGATAGCGGCGAATTCGGGCGGGATGGCTTGGTGTATCAGTTGCAAGGTTTGTCAAATTTCTTTTCTATACTGATATGCGGATCAACTTGAAATTTTATGCTCTTTTCTCTGAAAATTTGTTAAATTAAGTGGCTTCAAAAGTTTGGGAAAAGGAAAAAATCTTCTGACCTGCAAGCTTGCAAAACTTTTCAAAGACTGTTTTTTCTTGATTAGAATCCTAAAATTAAGAGGTTCGACTTATTTGATACACCCTCAGTTCCATACAATCTCCGGAGCATGTCCAGTTTTAAAAATTTGGCTTTTCATTTGCCAATTTCGAGAATTCGCAACACAGGACTGTACAAATAGGAATTTTTGTATAGAGGTCTGGAAATTCTTGGATATTATTAAATTAAGGTAACCTTCGTTTAATCTTCTCATAATCTTAAGTGTATTTGAATAATTTTCAGTACTTCCTTTAAATACATACTTATAAGCCTCTCTTATGGCCCTAATATTATTTAAAATATTTGTGCATTTTTCATGCCGGTAACTAATGTCCTTTCACGTTTCATTTTGAAGGTGACAAAGCGGAACGCTTCTCGGTAGATCCAGAGACAGGGACGATAACAGTTGCTCTTTGTAACACCCCAGGGACAGACCCCTGCTTAGATTATGAAACTCAGTCAGTCTATTTCTTAACCTACAAAGCAACAGACACGAGTGGAGAGGGCCTCTCGACATCAGTTCCGCTCAAAATTTCACTTCTAGATAGCAACGATAATCCACCTGAGTTTGAGAGCAACCACTATTCAGCATTGATTGATGAAGGAAAAACGGAGTTCGATCCGCCATTGATTGTCCAAGCTAGAGATAAAGACAAAACGTCAGAAATCAGGTAAGAATTTCAATCTAGTTTTCATCAAGAAGCTCTGTAGTACAAACGGCAGGTTCGTCTTTTCTTTTTTATCTTTGTGCCTGGTTATCCAATGGAAGTAATATCCTCAACCGAAGAAATTTCTTGCATGAGAATATCTTTAGCTCTGTGTTGAAGAACATATTATTGAAATTGACTTATTGTCTCAAATCCAGTTTATTTAAATAAATTTGCTCTCTGAGCAGAATATTACAAACCTTATTTGAATAGCAAAACCGCCTGAATTATTTTTATTATTGACCTCTGTGCTGCTTGTTTTGTTATCATTATGATCATACTACTATGATTTCTACTGATGCCATATTGGTAATAATGAACGAAATAGGTTGAGAGACAATCAATTCTGAATGTTCTCTGCTTGTTCTATATGCCTTGTAATTCGTACAACTGCAAAGTATTTATATCAGCCAATATTGCGCGTTCAACAAAGAAAGCAAAATTATAACAACTAGTCCAAGAGCTTTTGCGATATTTGTTTGGTTTACACAATCTGGTTACATCAGGAAAAGAATGAAGAGTTCAATGACCTTCGCAGAATTTTCTATCCTTTTGAAGATGTTATGTATTTGAGGTAGGTCAACTTGGCCTTTAGTCAAATACAATAAAAAAATATAGATGCAAGAGGCGGCAAAAGTCTACCAGAAAATTAAGTAAACAATTAAACTATAATGAAGGATTTTACTTTTTCATGCAATTAAAAGCATCGATTGTTTATTCCAGGTACTCAATAGAATCGAGTAACGCAGAGGGGCTTGTTGACATAAATCCACTAACGGGAGAGATAACTGTCATCAGCCCTGAAGGTCTGGATATGTCAGCAATAGACGGAGAAACACTTTCACTAGTTGCGGGGGCTTCTGATGACATGTTCAAAGTACTTACTACTGTCAATATCACAGTCCTAGACGTCAACAATAATGCCCCCGAATTTGAGTACGATAACATCACAATAAATGTGAAGGAAGATACTCCTGTGGGTGCCTCTCTTATGACTGTCTCGGCATACGATGCAGATACAGGAATCAATGCCGTCGTGAACTACCGTATTGAAAAAGGCGCTTTTTCTGATTTTGCTGTTGAACCTTTGTCGGGAGATCTGAGTATAGCATCCAAGTTGGATTATGACCGCAGGATGGATTACACCATTGAAATAATTGCTTATGATGGTGGAACCCCCTCCTTGACTGGAACAACAACAGTCAACATCAATATTGAAAATACAAATGATAAAAATCCATACTTCTCTCCTGCTCTTCAGCGAATTGATGTTGCAGAAGATGCAGCCGTCGGTAAGGTGTTTTATCGTTTGGTCGCAAAAGATCCAGATGTTAACCAGTCGGATGCTTTGAACTTCGCAGTTGCTGAACCTATTACTGCAGTCGACAAAAATGGAGTAGAAGTAGATTATGATACTTCCTATAAAACCTTTTTCTCTGTTGATAAACTAACTGGGGATGTTTCCGTCGCCAACCCGCTACAAAGAGATATGGCAGCAGTTGTTCGTCTGACCGTCATCGTGACGGATACTACTGCTCCCAATCTTCAGCAAGGAAACGGCACTCTTATTGTGTCAATCATGGATGTGAATGACTTCGCGCCTCAGTTTCCTCCTCCGTGGACCAGAGAAAATCCAAAGTACAGTTTCAGCATTTGGGAGGAACAGCCTATTGGCACTGTTTTAGGAACGTTCACTGCTTTTGATGAAGACTCAATCATTGACCACTACGCCATTGTCCCCGAAAGTGAGTACTTTGAGGTCAACAACGAAACAGGCGCCATCAAATCGAAAAGTAGGATCGATTTTGAAAAAGTGGAAACCATACATTTCAACCTTTTTGCTTACGATTCTGGTCTCCCCCAAATGTCATCATCTGCGCTATTTATCGTCCATGTCAACAATACCAATGACAATAGTCCTGTTTTTAATCAGAGTGAATATCATGCAAGTATCATGGAAAATTCTCCGCGTGGAACCTACCTGACAACAGTGCAGGCAACTGACGATGACAAAGGAATCTTGGGCAAAGTAAGTTATCGACTCACAGGGAGTGACGGTCTTGCCAGTATTGACTTTAACGTTGATGACATGGGTTCCATCTTCGTTGCTAACCCTGAGTCACTTGATCGTGAGTTAAATGCAGAAATCACTATCCAAGTTATTGCATATGACGGAGGACTCGGGGATAACATGAGATCTGCATCCGCTCCCCTTCACATCAAAGTGATTGATGTAAATGACAACAAACCTGTGTTCAGTCAACATCATTACACAGCATCAATTGTTGAAAATATACCTCTGTCTCCTGCTGCCCCGATTGTCCAACTAAAAGCGGAAGACAAAGATAACAATGCTCAGTTAATGTTCAAAATTGTGTCAGGGAACAGCGACGATGTGTTCCGAATCGATCCTGAAACTGGGATAATATATCCTCAAGCCTCACTTCAAGGAAAATTGTCGCAGTATGTGTTGGCTGTTGAGGTCTCCGACAGCAAATTTTCAGACACTGCAAAAGTGGATATCGCAGTTTTAGATGTGAATCAAGCTCAACCTCTGTTCAAAGAACCTCCTTTGCCCAACGCCACAGTTCTAGTTCCTGAAAACACTGGGCCAGATCACCTAATTATGAAGGTTCATGCTATAGACACAGACTCTGGTGAAAATGGTCGCGTAACATATCATTTCAAAATCAATAATCTAAATGTACAAGAAACGGAGGAGTTTATGATTAATGCTGATACTGGGGAGCTCAAATCAAAGATTCTTCTAGATCGAGAGGAAAAATCCAGTTACCAGTTGGTGTTGGTAGCACGTGATCAAGGATCTCCAACTTGGTATGAATCTTTGCGTTTTCTCACGATAGTTCTCGAAGACGTAGATGACAACAAACCGACTTTCATGAAAGAAAATGCAAGTGCATCATTCCTGTTTCAAGTGCGTGAAAACAATCCTTTGCACCTCCGAATTGGCAAACTGGAAGCATTCGACAAAGATGAAGGGGTAAACGCCAAAGTTTATTATTACATTATAGAAGGTAACGCGGATCGTAGTTTTGCTGTTGACCGTTTAGATGGATCTGTGTATACAAATTCGTCTCTTGACCGAGAAACAAGATCCACCTATGACCTCTACGTCAAAGCAACAAACGATCCTGACTATTACCCAGCAAAGGAGAGTAACGTTTCGTTGGAAGACCCAAGTGTGGCTCGTGTGCGAATTTTGGTTTTGGATGAAAATGATAACCCGCCCATTTTTAATCAAACGGAATACAACACAGGCGTCAACAGCATGGCGGACTTGGGTACCTTGGTGTGTCAAGTCGATGCGTCGGATTTAGACGAAGGAGCAAATGGTTCCTTAACGTATCAAATAACAGCTTCATATTTGTACAGGGCAGGCTCCAATGTGTCCTCTGGCTCGGTGGTGCCGAGTCCTTTCATGATTAATTCTTCAGGCCGTATCACCATTGCTGCTTTTGTTGCCGAGTATAACCAGGAATGGTTTAAACTCAATGTTGTTGCCAAAGAATCAGCTCCTCCTTTCAGAGAAGCTGTTGCCATTGTAAATGTAAGTGTTTTTTTCTTTACTCTCTTCAAATTACCAGCTCCTCTCTTGAATGATCTACAATTTGATTGCATCTCCGAATACGACCAATAGTCTCTTAAAAACGAACCCTGGAATCAGAATTTCTTTTGGTCATTAAATTGCATTACAAGTGTCTCTATGCAAAGACTGGTTGATTATTATTACTATCATAATTATTGAAATTTTAGGGAAAAGTAACAACAGTGAGTGCAGAGCCAAGATGGTCACTTCATCTTGCGTGTCATGGAGCTTCTGACCTTTAAATTAGTGCAAAGAATAACATAGGTCCCATTCCGAAAAATTGTAGAAAGATGAAAATTTGGATTCTCTATGAGGTACATCTTCAAATTTTAGTTTGAAGGCATGATTAGATAGTAAATTCTTTTCAAGGAGAATATATCCTTTTTACCGTATTCAATCATCTCAATCAATCATCAAATTCATCAATCATTTCAATCTTGAAGTGATGGCTAAATTTTCTACAAAAAAATATTTTAATAATTTGATCTCAACAAGAAATGCCACAAATTTTTTTGGCTTGCCTTTGAGTGACCGCAGTGTTACTAATTTTACTAATTAACTTAATTTATTATTCAGACATCCGATCGTTCTGCATAATATCATGAGTAGTAAATGCATTTATTTTAGCTGATTTTGTGCATTATCATTGCCAACCTGTTTTTATAAATGGGTGAATTGCAGGTTTGGATCTACGAACAGAAGCAGTTAATTCGAGTGATTCTATCCCGTCCTCCAAAAGAAGTGCACCAAGACAAAGAGGAAATAGTCATGGAACTTTCAAATGTTACCAACCACCTAGTGGTTGTCGATGAGATTAAATATCATCTGCAGAATAACGGTAGCATCCGATATGATTGGTAAGAACCCTTTTCATATGGTAATTTTTAGCTCTTATGATTTCTGAGTTTAAGTTTTGTAGTTAAATCAAGAAATGATAATCGTATAAATCCTTGCATAATCTTTAGTAATGTGCTACATACTGCTAATCTAATTTTTCATGTTAAAAATATTTTTCTCAGCTTTAAATATTTGCCAGGACACACAACATATAATCTTTTTTTATTATTATTTTATCATCATTTGTGTGTTTCTGTTAACTCTGTCTTTTTTATTCCAGAATACATTCATAGATCTGACAGTTTATTTTCATGTAGATGAATTTATGTATTGAAAACAGCAAGTGCTTTCAAATTATAATAACATAATAACGGAAGCAAGACAAAAAACTTCTCAGTTCTTTCCTGGCACCTAATGTAAAATAATTAATAAATTAAGAGAAAATGAGAAATGAAAAGAGCATAAAAAAATGTGGAATCGTTTTTGGAATGCTTATGTTTTCCTAGATACTCAGAGAGGCAGAAAATCCCTCATCTCTGATACTGACAAACATGAGACTTGACCCATTTTTTTGGTACTTGTTCGCAAGTAATTTTCTTTTTTGTTTAAGAACTCAGGAAGTTTTATATCAATTTGAAAAATATGCAGAATGTCGGAGGACTTGAGAGAATTCTGAGAAAAACTTGGTGGAAATTGAGGAATTCAATTGTGAAAGTTAAACCCTGTATAGTTACAAGTGACTATTGTTCTGTAATTTTCCGCATTCCCACAAGAACGTTCCCCTCAGAGTTACTTTTATTAATCTAGATTTTTTTTTTCAGGTCGGACCTGTACATGCATGTGATTGACCGAAAAACGCAAAATATTGCTCAAATTACTGATATTCTAGAAATGATTGATACGCAATATGACTTGCTCAAAGATTACTATGCTAGTTTCGCAATTGAAAATGTCATCCCTGCATACATTATTTCCAATGTGGAGCCTTTTGAGCCAGCTCTAGCTGCCTTGGTAGCCTTGTTGATTGTATTATGTGTTGGTACAATATCAATTATAATTGTTTGCTGTTGCTTCCGTCATTGGGTCGTAACGGACCCCTCAGATGTGAAATCGGACATGTTGATAAAGAAGACTATTATCGACGATCTCAACACAACTGAGAATCCCTTATGGATTGAACAGTAAGTCACCTCTATTTTTCTGGTCAGCGGTACCATACTGATGTTTAAATTGATACTCCTTTGCACTGTGAAGATACATCAGATATGGATAATTTTCTTGTTTCAAAATAGTGCGGCAGTAAAGGACAAGATTGAAGGGGAAATGAAGACAGAAAGAGTAAAAGAGGTTGGAAATAAGGGGGGATGGCTGAGGCATCATTGAGAAATTGAGAAATTATGATATCCTCCTCAAAAATATTATTTACGAAAGGTGATGAGTGCCAAAAGAAAGCATTTGTAAAACTGCCTAAATTAGTGACCAGAAATTCCAGTTTTGCTATTCTATCAAATTCACACATCGTATCCCACAATTGTCTATGTAAGTGTTGGATCCTCTTTTCGACAAAGTTTCAGTATCAGAATCCTTCCTTAAATCTTTTTGTTTGATTTCTAGGAAATTGAAACTCTACGAGGAGCAAGAACTAACAATGCAAGTGTTCTGTGAACCAGACAGAATCCGAAGGGATAGTGTTGGGGATTTATCAGTGGGAGGAGACAACACCTATGCTACGATACAGCGCCCTCACTCACAGCAGAGGGACTACGCCACTCTGGGTGGCTCGATTCTACCCTTGGACAGTGCAAGCACGCACAGTCAGCAAGTAAGTCTGCTTGAAATTGCCCCATTCAACATTCGATAATAATCTAAGACAAATTTTTCTGATCGATTATCAATCATTTTCATATTTTTGTCGACAGCCATGAATTTTTCTACGGTCACATTCAGTTATAACCATGATAAACGTATAGAGTTCATGGAGGAAATTTTTAAATCAATTATCTGGTTTTATCTACAAACATGATGCTGTTTTGATCTACACTTATTTTCGAGAAAGTCTTCTGTCCTCTGAGAAATAGGCTTTCCAGGCGGAGTCACAGTTTTAGCACCTGCATAGATGATTTCAAAAAACTCATGCACTGTTTTTTTTTGTTCATGTAAAATCAACACGAACATTAGTAATGCACATAGTGTTTTAATAGACACAATCAATTTTTATTTGTGTTGGATCAGGAAGTAAATTTTTCAGTTTTTAGAGTTTTCAGTCAGGACAATTACTGAGAGTGTTTGATGAAGTAGAAGAATAAAAGAACAATGACTCTTTCTTGGTATCTATAAATTATAAGCAACTTAATTGATTTTTGTGGAAGTAGATAGCACATATGATCAATAGATATTTTTTTCCTTTTGTCCTCTTCAGCAAGGTTTAAATGTTCTTGAACCTAATGTTACTAGAACTTTGATCTTATATCATTCTTTATTCTGTGTGATTTCTTTTTTTTATATATTTATAAAATAGATTTCTTCATTTTTACTTCCATTTAGATTTCAATATTTTTAAAACTCGCAAACCTTTCATGATGAGAGCAAACATTCTTACAAGTATCTTAAAATTTTAAAATTTCATTAAAAATGAATAAAAAATCATGAGTTCTAACAATTTATAGTCTGATTCTTTTCAGATGTACGAGGCTGCATTGGGTTTCCAAGGATCAACGTTCCAAGTGCCCGATTCACCACCAGACACAGCTGATTTGCTACGAGCACGCAGTGAGCTGAGAGTGAACAAAGATGGTCAACCAGAATTTGTCTCAGAGCTTATTTAGCTCTGATGAGTTCTTTCTTTGTGAAAATTAGTCCATTTCATTGTCTTTTTTTGTGTTTCTATTTGTGATTCTAAGAATGTTAATCACAGTCTTAAAGTGCAGGAAAGTTACAGGAGCCGTTTGTAGCTTTATCGTTTTTTTTTATTATTTTTTTTTCTTTAAAAAAGAGTAAAAATAAGTAGAATATACCATCAGAAATATAATGGATCAGTTGCGTACAGAATTGTATTTTGATGGTTTAAGGTAATTGATAAGTAGACGATATGTAATTAAATCCGTCCAAACGCCTAATTTCTACTTCCGAGAATTACGGAGATATTGCCCCTCGTTAAACATGGTGCATGATGTCTTCTACCACATTAGTACATACAATAGCTTCCTCCACCTTGGATTCATAAATTAGTGACACACAGAGTTTTGTTGGTCGCTTGACTTCAAACACGGATGAAACCAAAGTGGAAGAAACCGTGTCATGTACCTCCAAGGTATGGAAGACATCATACACTGTGTTTTTTGAAGTGCAATACCTCTATCAATATTGGAAGTAGGAACTTTGCGTCTGGTCAGTCTTTATTATTTTTGGCTGCTTTATAATCTGAAACTATCAAAACACGATTCTACGACTAGCGCAATCCTGATTCTTCACTAACTTTGCATGTCAAAGTTTTGAGCTCTCTTAGCTTTCCTGCATCATTAGAAGACTTGCCAAGTAAGTTCAAACTCTTTTAGAGTAAGATAGCAGATCTCTGCCATTTTGATTCTTACACTTAATTTTGATGCAAAAATGAAGATGGGAGATCTTCTCTCTAATAGTGTGCAAACTTATTTGGCATGGACTTTATCTTCCATTTGTCTTCCTTTACATGGCGAAGGAAAATGTTCCCCTCACTACATGGCACTCAGTGCCCAAATTTAGTATTGTGTTTTATGTGATCATGTACTTGCATTTTGTCATTCCATTTAGTGTCTTATCATTGCCATACTCTCTCTTAAATCTTTTGTCTTAAAATTTTTAAGTCTCGTATTGTTGTGTCAAATAAGTGGCAACGAAGCTATTCGACGTCAAGTAGAGAATAGCATTATTTTAAACCCTCTAGCAACGAAATTTTGTGTTCAAAAGTTTCAATTGTGATTCCTTTTTTAGTGAATTTTACTGTTTATTGGTTGTGAATGTACCTTCAATAATTTTGAAACGAACAACGCCTTTTTTGTAAGATTTTGTATATAAGACTGCTAAAATTTTTTGTGATTTTCCTTGAGATCACACAATTGTCCTGGTACGTATTCTAACTTGAATGTTTTATTTGTTGGATTTGTATAGAAAGAAACCCTTTTTGAAACGATTTTAATGTATTTTAAATACTCTGATCGATGGCTGAATTCAGAAACCATGTAGCTATTTTGTTTTGCAGTCTTGCAGATTTACATCACACTTTATCAATAAGAAAACCAATCAGCTGAATTTTTTTATAATTTTTATGATTTTTCTTCTCTGTTTTTAGAATATTCTATGGAAACCTCAAGCAAATATATCTGCTAATTTCCCCTCAAAAAGATAAAATACGAGTATGAGACATCACACTGTAGGTACATGGTTTCCAAGCTTAGCTATAACTATGCAATGGATGAAGGTCAGTTGAAAGTGAAACCTTTCCTGTCTGAGAAGGAACTGTGCCAATGAAAAAAATGGATATTTTCTTCTCATTTGAAATTTTGTTTCATAATTTTTTGAACTGTTTTTAACACAAATAATTATTGTTTTCAATAATAGATTTTAATATAAGACTACTATTATTTCTGCTTTCAACTTGGTCCGTTCTATGTGTGTGTGCTGGACTAAAACTTCCTCTCCCCACTGTTTGAATGTTTCCTAGGTTTCAAATTTTTTCAGCTGACCTCCATGCGTTAAGATTTTTTTTAAAAAATTTGATTAATAATACTGTGATAATATTTATTACGTATTATTTGTACAAATGTTTATTAGTTAGTATCAAATTTGTGTGATATTATGATTTCTATGTTGTAGGAGTCGCATTTGCCTAGGAATGAGGTTCAGCCTCAGCTTTATTTAATATCATTGTCAAAACTTTATTTAGTTCAAAATTTTAATTATTGCATAATACTGTTAAAATACTGTTCATTTGTCCCCCCCCCCCCCCCCCCCCGCTCAGTATGTGTCAATTGTTTTATATTTCCATAATACCTCCTTTCCATGCTCCAAGCATGTTGTATAGAAATTGAAAGTCTCCCGTCTTAAAATTTAGTCTGCGTCTCACCTGGTTATCTTAATCCAGATTTCCTGGCTACTTTTTCAACAGTAATTTAGTCTATACCAGGCATTCAAGCATGACAACAAATTTTCTAGTATGATCCATCTCCTTGTTTCTCATTTTATTGTACCTAAGCTCTTTGATAACTTCCTCTCAAAGAAAGAAAAGGACAGCATTGAATTCTCTTTGTTGTGAGAACTATATCGTTGTTTCTAGTATTTTTATTTGTCTCCTAACTAGGTACATGGAGAGTAGGTATTGGAAGCACTCTAAAACTATTATGGATTCTGCGTGTAAAAGTGTCCCAATTATCAGTCATCAGAGAAAAAATTTAATTTTGGTTTAGATTTTTCTGTTTGTCCAGAATGGGTGGTGAATGTTTGGAGCTGTCAGTAAAGTCTTACGCAAGCTCTCTGATTGGCTCATTTTGTAATGCACCATTAGATAAGGTGCGAATTTAAGCATTATGATTTTTGTATCCCCCATCAAAACACCTGGGACACGATTTGTACAGCAATAATTACTGAAGTTAACTCCCAACCTAGATATTAACGCTTTTCGATACAACAAACCAAACCTTCCTCTCACAATAAAAAATCATAACCTACTTCAGCTCAATCCCTCACTGAAAGTTACCATAACAGTCTTTGCAGTGTGAAAATATGACACCCTCAATATTGATGCTGTGGCTCAGCTATTGCACAATGTTTACACTTTAAGCAACACAGGGTGAGAAAGCAACACTGCTTATCAAGAAACCTGCCAAAATCATTAAAGTTTTTCAATTTTATTCAAGTAGATTATGTTTTTTGATGGGAACGGGAAATTCAAATTTTTGATAACCAATGCTATGTAAAAACGTTGATATCTTTGTTTGGACTTAATTTCAGTAATTTTCGTTGCTTAAACCGTGTTCCTTCTGAAATTCTTAAGCAGAAATATACATAGGTAGATCAGAATGCTTGAATTCGTAATTTCTCCAATGGTGTCCTTTCCTCATATTATTTTCACAGAATTCTGAGCTAACTGTAAGCAACAAATTTAGGATGTAAAAAGTCATGGAGACGGGTCAGAGGTAGAGAGTCTTACTTTCACCATTATGTTGCAGCGTTTCACTCTCCTATCCCTGTATGCATTATCAAGTGTTTGTCTCTGTGTTTTACGTCGGCAATTTTGTTCAAACCATGAATTTTATGAAAATTTCAAGACAAAATTTGCCACTGTTCTTTAAAATATCAATACACTGTCAAGTGAAACTTCGCAATGTTGCACTTTAATCACGTTCCTATGGCTCTGATCCCTTCATTTGATACTCTCAAGCCTGCAATTTGTTAAAGAACTCCTGACATGCGTTCTTTCTCTCCATGTACCTTGTTTTATTAGATTGGATCAGCTGAAGGACATTGTTGAAAAACGCCTTTTCCCAAAATTGTAAAGCTTGTGCAAAATAGGTGTTCATTAAATATTTCAATTTAGAAATGCCCTTATCTGTTGCTCTGCTTATGAAGTGCAGGACTTGTGAGAATAAAGTTGCAATTCTAATTATTTAGGTGTTTTGCTCAGGTATTTGTGCCTTTCGACAATGGTCCATCCCATTTTCTTTATCTAAGACGCCTACATATTTTCTCAGTATGTAGTAACTTTACTCTCACATGGCATTCCAAGCATGGCAAGAATTTTTTAACCCATTTCATCCAAGGCTAGACCTGAAATTAAAAGTATAAACTTTAGAAAATTGTCTTTGCTCAACATAATTTTGAGAAATAAGTAACGCAGCTGAAGAGGCTCGCAAAGTAAATCAAGTGGAATGTTTTTTTTTCCTCTTTCTGTTTCTTTCAATCATTACTTTCCTTTTTTGTGATGAATTTTATTCCTGCAGAGGGAATATAAAAGTATTGTCATGTAGAATGTCAAATATGACCTCAGAACCCTAAAAGATGAAAGTCCCAACCCTATTTCAAAACTTATTTATAAATCACCTTTAACATCACTATTGTTAATAAATTCTTACAAAAGAGAGGATTTTAATTTTTTTTTTAATTTGAATTGTTTTTTTGCAATTGCTTCTTTAAAGCAGAAATTCCTTAGTTTGATCAAGACTTTTGAAGGGTCATAGCTTAAAAATGTTCCCATTTTTAATAAAACTTAAAGAGTCAATTCTTTGTCAATATGTGTAGAAGTGAAAAAATTTCAAATCAATTTGTTCTGTGGACCAGGAGCTCTGTCACTTTATCGAAAGTTTGAAGTAGTCATCATATGAAATCCCTTTCACATGTTTTGATCCCTAAATTTTGTAGCACACTCAAAATTAGCCCAGAAATATTGGTGGGTGACATCTGTTTTCATATCTTTTTTGGCGTTTTATAGTGTGCCTTTTTACTTTGATTTCCTTCTGTATTGACTCATTTTTGCTTTTACCATTTTAAATAAGTATCATGCTGATCTATGATGGAACAGGAAAAAACTGGATTTCACTTGTAGTGCCTTAAAAATTCCACCTCATTTTATTCTCTCTCTCAAAAAAAAAAAAAAAACTTTGTAATACTCGCGTATGAAACTATTAAGTATTATTTTAGTTAGCTCTAAATCAATTAAGGCAAATCTCAAGCATTGTGTCCTTTTTTTCCTTTTTTTAAAATAATAATAATAATAATAATAATAATAATTTGAAATTGCACATAAAAGGAGGTGAGAAAAGTCACAAATTAGACTCATGATTCTACCACCTTTATCATTGAAGTGTTTCTTTATTCTTGCAATGCATTTTTTTGTTTCACTAGATATTGCCGTACGAACTACTGGTAGTTACTCTGCCTATATAGGCATTTTACTATTTAATATCAAGAAAATAATATATCTATTTCAAATCACAATTTATATGGTATTCATTGGTGTTTTTTGTGCCTTCTAGGTTCATTTTTAATGAACTTTATTTTAAGAATAAAAACCTAGCAAGAGTTTCTGGTTAAGGTGAAAAATTTCAAACATTCATCATTTTACGTAAGTGACCCGTATTTTTCACCCTTTAAGTTATGTGATTTCCCAAGTCTCTGTTTATCATTGTTTTTCCCAAAAATGTTCCCTATACTTCTATTCAGTATTTTGAGATATTTATTTCCAGAGCTTCCTTATCCTTTTAGTCTTATTTTTTTACACGCATAGCTGTAAGTGCCAAACCATGTCTTGTAAGTAGTAATAAATATTTGTATATTTTTAAGAAATGATTTTTCATTTTCCTCCCTTTTGTCTCTCCTAATATGAAGTACCTCCAATTAAATTTGCACTGCAATTTCTAAATTTGGCTTACTATTTACTTGTCAGCAGTTTTATGGTTTCCAGCTGATTTAACTGTAAGTAATCGTTTCTCTCTTTATTTCATTTTAACGAACAGGGCAGACAGTTAAAAATACTTGGGTTAGAGAAAAGGACAAATAAATAAAGTGCAAAAGAATTGTATAAATTTCTTTTTTATTGACTAGTTTAACATGCATTTTATGTACAGTCCTCACTTTTGCTCAACAATCTTAGTAATAGGTACAGTTTTTTTTTTATGAAAATAATAACTTAAGAAAGAAATTACCTAAAAGAAGCATCAGGCTTCAGTGCAAAAATTCAATTATCAATCCTTACAGCTATATTTACATTCGAGGACTTTAAACAGAAGATAAAGAATACATCAAAGATTTTGCAGAGACAGAATAGTTAAATTTTTTCTAACGAAGAATGGCAAAGATTAAATATCCTGCAGCCTACTGTAAGTGAGGGTAGAAATGAAGAAAACTTATGCTGTGAAAGTGCATGTACATGTGAAGGAAAAATTATCTGAACAATCTTTGAACATACTCAAGCTATAACTTTCAAGCAGAATGTTCATTATTTTCAGTGGCGAAAGATACTTGTAGAATTTATTGCACTTGAATTTTTCCTCAAGTGTTTTCTTTTCTTTTTTTTTTTTCGAACAAAAATATTTTCTCATATCTACAGAGTCAATATTTTGGTTTTGCAGATGGGTTTATGCCAAAAACAATAAATAACTTTAAAAAAAGGAAAGAAAAAACAATGATTTGGAATGCGACTTAACATTGAGACCTGCCATCTTAAAGAAAAAAAAAATAATAACGGCTAGAAAGAAAAAAGGAAAGAGGAAAAATCCGAGACAAAAAAGGATTAGGTGGGACCGTATCATATTCTAACATAATAACATACTTTTTCCTTCTAATCCGTAGTGAGGCAATTTTGAATATAATCTACGGACTAGAATGTATGTGAAGCCACAACTTAAAAAGCGCCTTCAATTCAGTGGATACGCATCTTCGCATACCGCGGAGCATATATACCTGAAGCGGACGCAGTATTTTTTGAGAAACATGAGTCTAGGTCGTGGACTTTTGATACCTCAAAATGACGTATTGGTTTCAAGTCAACAAAGCTTTTAAGAAAATACATAAAATTAGGTCTATATGTTGACACAATCAAATTAAAAGGAACTACCGGAGTTGTGACCTAGGCTGTCATATATGTATTCTTCTAAGCCGCGGGGTACAGATCACATGATAGTTCCTTTTTTTAAAATGTTGACAAGTTTACTTCTTCGTTTGTGTACTGCAATTATTTGCAACTTTCGTGCTATTTAATTTCCACCAAATTACCGATTGTTTCCCGTGGGAGACTCATGAACTGAGTCTCGTCTTCATCTTAGCTTGACCGTAAAAAAAGTAGGTATCGAAGTCACTTAATGTCAGAGAAAACTGGGATGTCATCTTCTGTTTTTTTTGTTTTTATTGTTTTTTTTTCCATTTTTATTCGTTTTTTTTTCTATGTCCAATTGTGGCGATGGGAAATATAAACCGTCCGACTGGCGGAACCTTAGAAAACGACGAGCCGTACAAATTACGCGCGTGGGAGGGTAGGAAGATAACAAGGAATTGTTCGACGGTGAAACTACCGAATTTCATGTCTTGATTTTTGACGGTTTTGCATCAATGAGCAACCTTTAACACCACCATATTTTACCCGAGAAATTCGGGAAGTAACGTAGGTAGGTAAATTTAAGAACGCCATTTCCTCCAGACTCTTTTATTTCGATCTTGATTCGATTGAATTATGCGAAAAACCGGCCCAGAGCCTTTGTTGTTAAATTTGAGTTGCTTGGCCCTGGTAAAAATTGGCGATACGAGATGTGTTTCAAAATACCATAGGAATTCTTATAGCTTGCTAAAGAAGGCTACAGAAAATCATAAAGTTGTCTGTAGAATGCGGAGAAAATCATACGGCCGGGCTATACGAAGCGATAAAAAATTATGAAGCCGGGCTAAATTGCCGGGCTTTACACTTTCTCGCCTGGCTGTTGCTTCTTCGCCATCGATTATAAAAGGCTATAAGAAATTGTGTAGAAATTCGTGTGCTTTGGAAATCATTAAGTTTGATACGGAACCACCTTAATATTTACAAGACACACATTATATTTTTCTTTCATATATATTTTTTTTCATCAATTGAAATAAGAATAATCCATACAGGATGTGCAAACATTTCAAAATCATGAGTTGAATAACGCTGACTCCGCCAGATTAAATAATAGAGCCTAACACAAAGCGGAGCGGCGACGCACTGGCGCCTACAAACCTAACAAGGATACTTCACGCATTGCGCAACGCGTGAAGTATCCCTGTTAGGTTTGTAGGCGCCGATGCGCGTTTCGCGCCGGCTGCCCGCCTGCCGCGGCCGCACCGCAGCGTGCCACGGCGCTTGAAGCAACTATTTCACACCAGAGGTACTTATTGCACGGTATCCTACGAAACTGAAGGCGCTCTAATATATTAGGAATGACAGGCATCCATCGAAACATACGGAGCTTTCCTCGCAAAATAAATCAAGATACTACGGCCCAAAAAGAGAGTAGTAGTCCAAAAATTCACTAAGTCCTTGCATCCGTAATTAGTAACGTTTAACATCAACTTTTTCGTCTGGCTGTTGCTTAGTCGCCATCGGCTATAAAATGGTGAAAGACATTGTATAGCCGGCTACAGAGGCTATTGGAAGTCTTACAGCCGGCTTTAGGTCTATGGTATTTTGGAACACCGATTCCACTGCCAATTTGAATTGTTAGATGCACTGGGGAAAAAGATCTGGGAAACAGACTTCTTCTGTTTCAACGCGTCCAAGTGAACCAAGAAAATGAGGGTTTTTGTTTCTATGCTACCGTGCTAAGGAAGAACGGCGTATGAACATTCGAGAGTTGCCAAATTTCCCCGGATAAAACATGTATTTTTGAAGAAATTTTTGCATATTTTTCCTTTAAATTTTCAGATATTTTAGGTTAAATTGCGTACAAAATTTTCTAAAGATATCGAAAAATGATATTCACAATTTTCCCAGTAATTTCGCTTTTTATCGGAGGAAACTTGGCAACGCCTGAAGGCTCATACGGCGTTCTTCTTTAGCGAGGCAGAATGGATGTGGCAATGAGGAGTAGGCAGCGGTATGCGCCACCTACCTCCTTAGTGAAAAAAAAAAAAAACAATAGCACCGTGGATATGAAATGATAGCGCATGCAAAATAAGCACCTCCAAACGAAAGTAAAAAAGAGCCCTGTTTCTCTACAGACGATGGGCGGAGGATAATAGAAAGGAGGATGGCTGCACTGGCGAAGTGAGGGGGCGGGGGCGGGGGCGGGGGAGGGGGAGGGNAGGGGTATTGCGAAACCGGAAAAGTGGGAAGCGCACTGCGAGGGCGCGGACCCGTCGCAAGTGGAACGGGGAAAGTCGCGGAGGCTAACAATAAGATTGCACCGGTCACCGGTGTTTTTCATCATGTGAAGACTCGGGCTCGCACCGGTCACCGGTGTTTTTCATCATGTGAAGACTCGGGCTCGCACCGTTGGCAACAGGTGTCGCAGCAAGTTCAGCCGATAGGAGGGGAGGCTGTAAAAGACAGTCTTTTGATAGTTTGGACTGCGTTAAACAGAAAGGAACCAAGCCACATTAGCTATTGCCAAATTTAACGGGGACATTTTATTTTTTACGAGAGAACTTTTGGGCGAACTCCTTTGAAAATGTTAAGGAAGTTGCTTTGTACCATAAAGAAAATTCACTGAAATTTTCACAAAAATCCGCACAACCGTTATCATGTAAAAACTTTAAATTGCCCGATTAATTTGGCAATAGCTGACGTGGCTTGGTTCCTTTCTGTTTAACGCGGTCCATTTGTCAGTAAAGAGGAACCAACATATATCATGATCATTTTTCTTTAAAAAAAAAAAAAAGAAATAAATAGGTAAAGTTAAAATTAAACAGTTGCACTTTATTTTAGTCGAGTTATTGATGCGGGGAGATTCTTTTCGGCTGCTACGAGCCCAAACCCCGAGCGGATGCTAAGCATTTTCAGAGGACCGTCTCGCAGCGACAAGATATGAAAGTCATAATTTGAAAATTAGAAGAGAGTGCGGGTTCATCCAAGGTTCCTATCATCCGCATTGATAACAATAGCTGCGTGCTTTGCCCAATAAAATAATAAAATTAGCTAGTAAGTCGCTGAAATTATCAGTCCGAACTTCAATTAACGAGCAGCAAAATTGTGAAATAAAATCCTGTTTAAAGTCCCATCTCCCCCATTCTCGTGTGATAAGAACAAAAAACATGGAGCCCTAGGTCCTCTGAATGCGTTCCTCCGATTTAGGCGCGCTCTCGGAGTGTCGAGTCGGAATGCTCCTCAGCGTTCGAAAAATGTCACTTGACGTCATCTAACGTCACCAAACTGGCTGGACACACGTTCCTCCGTTTTTTCCCTTTCTTTTTGCGCAGATATACACGTCGCAATTTGCAGGCCGCTGGAAAGTGGGGTAGGTAAATTTCTGGGGTCGAATAGGACGAAATCTCACGGGCGGAATTTTTATGGCTTTGAAAATTGGTAATGAACTCCCAAGACGGCGACAAAAAGGCGTGCGCCGGGTGACGCGATAAATAGGCGCTAATATGCCGGCTCGGGGGAGGGGGCAGTGGTGGTGTGCGTGCGAGCGTGTGAGTGCGGAAGGGAAATGAGGCCAAAAGTCAGGACGCAAGCGTGACGCGCGGCGCGAGTAAGACTCGTGAGATAGGTGGATAAGTGTTTGTCCGTCCTGAAACCGTTTAAATATTTAGCTCATAGCACGCGAGTCGCGCATTCCTTATCCACTAAATACTTGCTTCTTTTCGCCGCGTTGCCAGTTGCCACACCGAA